GGGTCCTTGTGGTTCTGACTGCAGAGCAAGGCTGAAGTCAGAGGAGGTCAGCTGTCCCCCGGGGTGCAGCAGAAGCCCTGGACAAAGAGATGAAGGGCAGAAAAGAAAGATGGAGGAGCAGATGAGGAAAAACAGAGGATCTTACATCCTAGTGGCTTTGTCTCCAGGATACAGCTGCAAGTGTGCACGCAGACAAAGGATGCAGGTGTCCTCATGGGAGGCCCAGTAGAGCAAAACCTCATCCCTGTCTGACTTCCGAGTCCCATGAAGAGCTCACCTGGGAAGCATGATGGGATCTGTTTCTACTTTCTCTCATTGTCTCTTTATATACAGCCAAGAGGCAGGCCCCTGCTGCCTTGTCTCCATCTCCAGACAGGTCCCTGTTGAGTCCCATCTGTACGTCACTAGCAGACGCAGAGACCGTTCCCAGCAGCAGCGGCAGCAGCCTCTCTCGGCTGGCTGCTGGCAGCATTCTTTACTCTTCTGTCCATCCTGGAGCAAAAACGGCACCGCGCTGCATGAACGAAGACCCGGAGTGTAACCTCAGTTTGTTTTAATGCTCCAGAGTCGTGAAGCGCTACGAACTCAGCACTCATCAGGAACTCATCTAAACATTTAGGAGCTCAATGCTTGAAGTTTATGGCATCAAGGTTCTGCCAAGAAGGAAAGCACAAAAGCAACAGGAAGTGCCAACCTGGCAGCATCTTTGTTTTCTCATCCGAACAAATGGTGTCTGTTCCACCTGCTGACCCCGGTCCAGTTGGAAAATGGTTTCTGGTTGAGATGGGCTTCAGGTCGTGGTTGTGAAGGCATGGGGAGATGTGCAATGTGGAGAGACGGGATCTCACCTCGCTGCTGTGGCTTTAGCTTCCTGCAGGGCTGCTGGGGCACGAACCGGGTCCAGCCTGAGGTACGTTACAGCCAAAGCAGGGCGGGGCTTTCTAGTTTAACTTGTAATATATTGTTTTTAAAAGTACCCTTCCATGATTCCTTATATGAAAAGTTTTGTTTTGTTTTGTTTTGTTGCCAACAAAAACTGTTCTGTATGTGCGGGGTCACCGGGGTCATCAGAGCACAAAGAATAAAGCTTCTCGCTTGTGAACTCTGCAGCTTTATGAACAGCCAAATTAGCGTTTGATTTGATTTAAATGCTCAGCAAATCTATAGTTATTGCAGTAGGCTATGCCAGTTGGGCAGAGTTTGCACAGATGCAACGTTTTGATCTGAATGAACACGTTTCTGGCTGCACTGCAGAAGTCCTCGGGTTTACAACAAGAATGGTTCCAACTCAGATCCTGTCATGAAGAGCCCTGGCCTCCTCAGAGGACTGTGTTCTTTGGGTTGCTTCTTAGAGAGCATCCACATCTAACGTATTTCTGAGACTGTTTCTGTGTCGGATGTTTGGCTGCAGATATTTGGATTGCTGAGTTTCGTTATTGATTTTCTCAGATATGAGTTGCAAAATAATCTGAGTGAATAAGCAGCTTCATCGTGCTCAGAGGCTTATTACTGAGGTGGCACCGCTGTTGCATAACAGCATCATCTTATAATATTCAGATCCTGTTGTGAGCTACTCATCATGGAGCTGGGTTAGGGTTGGGTTAGGGTTAGCAGTTGTTTTTCCTTCAGCAGACACGTGCGTGTTGTTTACCTAGAGGTGGTTATTTCTCAGCCCACAGAAATATTCTTGCAGAAGTTGAATCCTGCTCCTCTTTTAACTTGCTGCCCTGTTTGTTTTGTTTTCCTCTTTTCTTTATTTGTTGGTGTTTTATTATTATTATTTTCTTTGTCTCCTTCTGCATCACCGCATGCCTGCACGAGTGCACGCGGGACTCCGTCTGCAGAACACATTTTGGTGCGCTCGTGCATACGTTCGTCGGTGCAAACCCCCTTTACTTTCTCTGCGCGCACAGCGTCGGTGTTAGAAAGCACTTCCGCCACAATAAGCATGGTGTAGGTGGACCACGCAGCAGACAAACCTAATGGGGGGGGAGGGGGGGGTTCTATATTGGGACTGACCCCCCAGCTGTCAGTGGCAGAAACCTGAACAGGTGTCTCAGCAGAACGCGTCATTGCGCAGGGACCCTCGACAGCTTGTGGCGCCCGCTAATCTCCGCTCTGACGACAGCGCATTACCCATTGCGCGTAAAACCAGGACGACGGCTGGGTTTGCGCTCGGGATTCTCATCAGTCTTCAGGAATTTTCCCCTCAGTGTTGATTCAGTCACGAGAACGGATTTGTGAGGAGCTGGTTTTCGCGCCTGGGTTTGACAGAGCTGGAGATGACGCTCCGGTGGATTTTCTAATCTTTCCTGAGTTTGAGTCGCCTCAACAGAACTCAGCATGTTGCCTGAAATTAACAACAAGGTGAGGCGAATGAGGACTTTTCTCTCCTGGTGGTATTTAAATATATGTGCAACATAGTTAACCTCCGTCCATTTCATTGCTGTTGCATGTCATTTGACTTTTCCCTTTAATAATAATAATAATAATAATAATAATAATAATAATAATAATAATAATGGAAATAGAAGTCACAAGAATGTGGGGAATGAAGACAACAACAATACCCGTCGTAGTGGGTGCACTTGGCCTCAGGGACTGGAAAAGAGAACAAAACGGATTCCTGGAAACCCAACAGTCCAAGAAATCCAGAAGATTGTTCTTCCCGGAAGTGCCCACATCATCAGAAGGACGCTTTCCATAAACTAACCCTGAAACTGCCTTAGAAGCATGGATTGGTTCTGGCACTTCAGTGAAAGCATACAAATATACAAAAATATAATAATAATAATAATAATAATAATAATAATAATAATAGTAATAATAATAGTAATAGGCCAGTTTTCTGTCTGGAAGCAGAATTATTTAATTACATTTTTAAGCCAGAAAAGGACAAGTGTGCTTTTCCAGATTTCAGATTTAACTTCCATGTGAAATTTTCCTGCAGGTGATCCTGCTTATTTTTGTAGTTCACTCTTCTGCTCGTGAATGCACGCCAAGGTATGATGAACAATCTGATCCATTTCTATTTCAGTCGTTTAGCCCACTTGTTTCAGCGTTTGTTGTGCTGACAGATTCCATAAGTCTAAATGTGTTGTGGTGTATTTTTCACTCCGTAGAAGGAAACTGTTAAATTTAACCAGAGATCTTCAGGAGAGGTGACAGAAAACGGTTGAAACGTTCTCAGGGTGAATGTTCCTTTATTTGTTAAGCATGGTTCCTGCACATTGGGCTGCAGCAGAACATCGTGTGATGTCTGTCCAAAATCAATGGGACGCTATGGTTTTTTTGAGAAGTGACTCCCTGATAGATGATAGTGTGAGAGATCCAAACTTTATAGTTTGTTGATGTTTACTGTGCTTCAGGTTTTATTGCTTCGGTTCGACCTCTGACCAGCTGGCCCTTCTGGAGGCCAGACTGCCTCTGAGTTGCAACAAAGGCCTGCTTGCTTTCTTGTTTTTATTTACAAATATATTTGACTTAAGAGCCAAATGTACAATATTTCATTTGTTGTTTTACTTGAAGTATACAGTAGCTTTAAAAGCATATTGCATTCATTTGTTTCCCATAATAAGGAGAGTTTAGAGCCTTGCCTGTTGGCATCACTTATGTTGACCTGGTTTGCAAGCATCACGTCACAAGTGATTGTTTATCTCTGTAAATTAGTCATCTGTCAAGAAGTCATGGCTCAGTGCTCATTAAAGGAGCTTACCTCAGACCTTTACAGGTGATGTTCTGAAGCCAACCTGTCACAGTGACCTACATGGTTCCAGCCGTCACACCCCTGCTATTGTAACACGAGCTTCACCACTTGTCTAGTAAGATGTCCCTTTAGCATCGATATTAACATTCACAGGAAGAGAAGAGGGAGTGTAGCGTCCAGGGTCACAGGTCTGATTCAGTCTGGCGTTAAAAGAAAAAGAATTGCTTCATTTCTCCCTTTGTGCTGCTTTGTTCTTCTAATCAACGGTAAAGCTCTTAAAATGACATTTAGGAAGCTCTGACTGAGTCGACTACATCAAGCTAAGCTTTGTTTCACCCATCTGGTGTTGCCATCACAGCTGATTACCAAGGCACGTGTGAGCTGGCTCGGGGCTGCCACGCTGCTGAATCATCCCAAATGGGTTTTCCTCTCCTCCTGTGCAACATCAGGGTGTTTTAGTGCCTCCTCTCTAAAGTTTTCTATCAATTTGATCTCCCGGTATATGCTCCGGCACGTGTACACCCACTGCCAGGCGCATGCATGCACACGGGCATGCGTTTTGCACTTCAACTGTAACTAAGACAGGGCGTACTGGAAAGCAAGCGGATGGTTGTTGCTGGGTTTTTGCAGAAGTGATCTATTTTAGGATCACTGTGCATTATTTTTGCTGGTCTGGTTTTAACCCGGCTCAGACGCCCGGAGGCTGTGTTGCTGGAGAAACTAGAGAATCCAGGCAGTCTCATTCAGATTTAGCTCAACAGATTATCTAAAGGAATCGGTGACAGGAAAAGATGTGATTCTCCATGTGATAGAACGGACCTCTGCAGAAGAGAGCTTTTTGGAGTTTTTGCTAACAAAAGACAGACATATTTTCTTTTTTTACATGCATGAGTCTATTTTTCTCCCACAGGCGTCACGGCCAGAGGTATTTCCTCACCCCCACAGACTCCCAACAGAAGACAGCCGTATTGGATCAAATCGACCCTGTTCACAGGTCAGCGCTTCACCCTGCATGATGCCCTTACAGCTGAACATGTTGTACCAACAATGCCATCTTTCCTCTATCAACCTTCTAAAAAAGCTGATTTTCTTGCACATTATTACCAACATTAGAGAATTTTTATACATCCCAATTAGAAGAGTAGGTAAAATTCAGATTGTGCTCATAAAAATAAGAAATGCACATCTGTGTGTAAAGGTGGTGTGTCCTTAGTTCTGTACAGGTGGATTTTTCTGTTGTGGCAGGTGCTTGGGACTATATTTAGCTCCATTCCTACGCGTCATCACCGCGTTAACACATCCTACAGCTCTAAACGATCAGTTATGTAGAACAGCTTAAATTAAGATATTTTTTATTGATTTCATGACAAATTTTAGGGTATCCAATAGCTTAAAAAATGTAAGAAACCTTCTCTAATTAAGTCACTTAGCAAATGGGATAAATGAGCACATTTTGCTCCCTTGTCACCAGCACAATTTGGTTTTTAACAGACTTAATATTATTTAAAATTCTCCAAAAGATCTGGAAAGGACAAAGGTCTAATCATGCCTCTGTGTCAAGGCTGAGCTTTGCAAGGCAGCAACATATGTAAAGGTGCTCTGAAAGCAACCGAAGTGTCAGTCAGAGAAAAGAAGGTCGCTGCACTTCGCCTCCCCCACAAAGCCTTCAGACCGACGCTGTCAGCACCCAGCCTGACGAGGCTTTGTCCTCTCTTCACTCTCAGCCTGATCGGTACATCCGGTCTCTTCGTGCTGGGGGTCCTGGTCACCTGAGACTTCATGTCGGGAGGTAAAACGGTGGAAAGCACAAACCCAAACTCCAAAGGAAACGCCTGATCCACAACTTTAAATGTTCCTTTTGCTGCTGATATTTAAGCAAACTGGGATCATTTAAAGATGTGGTTAACTCGTTTATTCAGTACATTTGCAGTGGTCTCTGGAAGGAATGCCTTGTTCATCTCCACTGGGCTAGTTTCAGGAACTAGAAGAGAGTCACGCCCGAGGAGAGCTTGACACAGAAGGAGTTCAATTCAATTCAAGTTTATTTATAAAGCGCCAAATCACGACAAGAGTCGTCTCAAGGAACTTCACATAATAAACATTCCAATTCAGGTCAGTTCATTAAGCCAATCAGAAATAATGTTTCCTATATAAGGAACCCAGCAGGTTGCATCAAGTCACTGACTAGTGTCAGTGACTATACAGCAATCCTCATACTAAGCAAGCATGCAGCGACAGTGGAGAGGAAAACTCCCTTTTAACAGGAAGAAACCTCCAGAGAATCCCGGCTCAGTATAAGCAGCCATCCTCCACGACTCACTGGGGATGGAGAAGACAGAACACACACACACACACACACACACACACACACACACACACACGCACGCACGCACGCACGCACGCACGCACGCACGCACGCACGCACGCACGCACGCACGCACGCACGCACGCATGCACGCACACGCACACACACACACACACACACACACGAGTGGACTCTTATTTCCTGGTATTTGGACATCTTGCCTCTGATTTGATAACAAGCACACGACTCCATCAATGACTCTGTTTGCTCTGCAACGTTGACGTTTTATCTCCACAAATAACACAAGCCTGGTGGAGTTCTGCTGTGTGGTGGAGTAGCTAATGCTAATGGTTAGCTTCTACTAGCCAAGGCATTCTCAACAGGAGATAGGTGTAGGAGACTATTTTCATGTTCAGCCTGCATGAAAAACTCAGAGTGACCCGTTAGAATCAGAAAAAATCATTATATTGGTTTTCAGGGTTCCACACCTTAAAAATAACAGATTTTTGTTTTTGCTCCACTTATCCGGGGTCGGGTCATGGAGGCAGCATCCTGGGCGGAGCGGCCCAGACTTTCCTCTCCCCAGCCACTTGGGCCAGCTTCTCTGGGGGGATCCCGGGGCGTTCCTTGTCCAGCCAAGAAACACAGCACCTTCAGCGTGTCCTGGGTCTCTCTTTCTCCTTACAGTTGGACGTACCTGGTAAACCTTACCAGGGAGGTGTCCAGGAGGCATCCTAGCCTGAGCCACCTCAGTTAACTCCTCTCGTCGTGGAGGAGCAGTGGGCCTCCTCTGAGCCCATCCCCTTGTGACCGAGCTTCTCGCCCTATCTCTAAGGGGGAGCCCAGACACCCAATGAGAAAACTCAGTTTGTCTGCTTGTATCCAAGATCTAATCTTTCGGTTTCACCCAAAACTCTGTCGAGCTTTGCCTTCAGGCTCAGCTCTCTCTTCACCACGACAGACCGGTACAACGCCCACATTATCTGCAGCATCAATCCATCTATATCGATTTTGTTTGTATTTTTGATTCTATTTGAGCTCATTTTTTATTTTGCAAAGCTAACAAATTAAACCGTTTGCTCTGAATTATAGAAGTTTAGCTCTGGTGTTGGCACCCTGCCTCAGCTTGACCCGCCAGTGGTCCAGGTGGTGGTCAGCAATGCCAAAAACCAGCACCAGCAGTCGGACAGCTTCCTGCCCCAGATTACCAACCAAAGCGGTCATAACTTCCAAACCAACTCGGTGAGTTTGAGATGAGATCGTTTAAACTGACCTCACAGCAAATGAGAGGAAATGCTTCATCTATGATATTCTTTTTCTCGTAACACACGACCTCTGCTACATGTCTGTTTTTTACAAGGTCGAGAGACTGAAGGCAACACAACAACTCGCCATGCGATTCGGCACAGCAATGGATAAAATGCCAGTCTCCCGCAACAGCAAGATGTTTAGCAACAAGCTGGAAAAGGAGAAATCATACGAAGGGCAAAGGTTACCCATGTCTCCTACAGGTGTGTTTTCATGACATGACTCCATCAGCTCATAGATGTGTCTTCACACTGCCAACATAAAGTAGGTGTTTAAAATGCAAACACATAACCAAGAAATGTTTTCTATCCCAAGATGAACTCAAAATAACATGCTGGCATTTAGAAAATATCTGTTCACGGTCCTCTGCATTTGGCTGGGATGTCATCAATGTGACTGTGACTCATCCCCATCCTCCTCCTCGTAACTTCCTGTTGCAGAGGCATTGAACAACTTCAAGGAGCGCCTGACGGACTTTGAGCAGGAGGAAATCAATGACTACCCCGAGGTCTGGTTCCTGGGCCTGGGCTCCCAGAAAATCCAGGGTTCCCAAGGAGCAGCGCAGAACAGCGGATATGATGATGAGCACGGGAGCTACATCCGGGTATTGGCTTTGGATATTTTTGTCTATTAGCGATTGTTTTAGAATCCTTCAAATCAAAGCTTCTTTCCGGAGTATTTCTCTTATCCGATGGCACCATCTAGTGGCTGACAAGCATATCACACTCCTTCTGTGTTTTTAAGATGGCGACTTCACGTTTCTGGTTATAAATGTGCTTCTGTAGCGAAAAACAGCTAAAACACGTTGTTTACGAGTATTATTCTCATGTCATGTTGTGTTCTCGTATTTTTATATTTTAGAGATTTACTTGTCTGTGAAAAGTTCATCAACTCTGCATCAGCCGAGGTACTTCCTTAAATTTGAAGCAAGTAAGCGGTAGTCTAACGCTATTGGTTAGTTCTGGTCAGCGCTCAGTTTTCTACTGCATGGAGCTCTGCGGGGCAGGGGGCGTGCTTAGAAAAAAAAAGACGTATCACTTACATGTGTACATGATGAGACAATCGCTTTTACGGATTTCTGAAAAGTCGTACATCCTTTCTGAAAGGGGAAAACTCCGGAAAGCAGCTTTAAGTGGAACAACCAAACATCTGCAACATCTGTGGTAAAGAGTTAGAATGGTCATCTGGCATGTGGTCTACAGGAAGCCTTAGGTCAAATCATCAATCTTCTACTTGACAAAGTGCTCTTGGGCAACACGTTGAACCTCTAAGTCATTTGTGTTCTGCTGTGCAGTGGATGCAAAGCTGTAGACTTACTTAAAAATCAGTCACGGGGACAAATGTAATCCATGCAAAGTTTTACAATAGAGTTTAAAAATCCTCCAATCAGAAAAGGAGCGTTTCATTCATTCATGTTAACGTTAAAGTCTTGTTCGTATCCGCAGCTTTAATAACTCGCCTCAGACAGGAGACCGACACTCTGAGCTAAACTGGACTACATGACCTTAATCCAGCAGCTGGACGCTTTTGTCCCCCGTTAAATATGGCCGACTCTATTGTTGAACAAACAATAAAACCCCGCTGAGGTCACAGACCCTGGAAGTTAAGTATGAATTAGACATCTGATTGGCTGCCACGTTATGAAAGACAATATGTAATGGATGCGTTTAGACTGACAGTCACAGCAAAGCCAGAATGTCTGAAGCCTCGTCATTTAGCTCAACTACCTTTTACCACTAACAGAGTTGCTCTTACCATCATTTAAAAGGTTTATGGAGCCACAAAATCAGCTAAAACAGATCAGTTAAAGGTGCATTATGTAGAAATGACGTAAAACTGGCATCCTGTGGTAACATTTGGTAACTGCAACCACTTTGAACAACTCTGGAGCTTTCTGCTGGCCGTCGTCGGCGCTGCTGTTAGCTCACAGGAGACACGGCACCCCCACACTCACTAATGGTAAACGTGAGTTACACCCCTCCTTCCTTTATTTTGAAAGGAGAAAAACGGACAATTGTTGCAGCCAGCTGGATATGAAATATGTTTCAGTAGAACCTTCTTTCCTAAATGTCTGAAACGTTAGACTCTGTTGGGATTTTCTCACTGTAAAATTCTCACTGTATTTTTACATACTGCACCTTTAAAGGGACACTTCAGTTTTGCTTGCTTGTAGCACCTCCTAAATGTCCGTCATTAATTCACTGTGATTAAACCGAAAGTGAAACCTATCTTCTTTCAGTGCGTTTGTCTTTTTAGCACCTTCATCTAACAGCTGAAATGTCACCTCAGCCTTCCTTAGTTTCTACGGGAGCGATTAATCACTAAATCAAACAAATCAGCTGCGGTCACGAGCTAGAACATACAGGAAATGTGCTAGGAGCAGACTCGAGCTCCACTCCACAGCTTCTCATTACCAGCAGAGCTGGACCGGCAACTCTGAAGTTGCAAGTGTGGTATTCTGGCCACAGGGGAGTGAAATGTTGTTAACCCTCATTTTAACACACACTGGCTTAAGAAATTTATTTTAAAATATGAAAACGTTGCGTAGTATCCCTTAAACGGATCAGCATGGATTGGGATAGAATAATTACGCCATTATTGGATCTAGATGTCACGCTGTGGGGATGTTTAGGACCCAAATATGCAGATTACCCAGACGACAAGAGGCAGAAAGTAAAAATCCTTTTATTTGCAGGATGAAAGAACAAAAATTAATCCAAGGCAGCGAGCCAAAGTCCAAAAATCCTGGAGCACAGGACACCCAAAGCTCTCTTAGAGCACAAAGTCAAAAATCCAAAAGTCCTGGAACACAGGACACCCAAAGCTCACTTAGAGCACCAAAAACCTAGAGACATAAAGCTCACACGGAGCACGAGTAACAATGCTGACAAAACACAATGGACCGACACAAAACAGAGACAAGACAGGGCTTAAATACACAGGGAGGAGTAATTAGGGAAACAGGCAGCAGGTGTGTTGAGTGAGGGCTGGAGGGAAGACAGGTGAATATAATCATCTAAATGGGGGAAACAGAACCAGAGGAGGGCAAATAAACCTAAAACTCTAAAACACAGAACTAAACCTAAAGACTGAGGGAAGGACTCACACACACACACACACACACACATACACCGAGCTGGGGACAAAGAGGCTGGAGCTACAACTGGAGGGGCTGAGGATGACTAAATGAACACCGGACCTGAGGGAATGATATGAAGGCCTACAAACAGAAGACACATAAATGAGACGCAGACAAAGGACACATGAGGGCGCTATGAGACACAGAAGGGAATCTAGAGAGGGATGGAGAAACATCAGGAGACACATGAAGGAAGACGCAGACCATGACACTAGAGGGGTTGATGCACATTGGTACAAAACACTGAACTCTGTTCTGGTGTATCAGGAGCCCAGCTTCATGTCTCCTACAGCTGCTGGAAACTGAAGATTTCACAAATTCTTTGTTCATAAAGTATCGGACATCAGAGCAGCTACTGACCCTGTTCCAGTTCCTCCATCACCACCCACCCAGAGCTCCCTCAGTGCTGTTTCTTATTCTGAGCTGAGTAATGCATGTAGGTTGTAAAATGTTCATTTTCTGGTACTTTTGTCTTGACATTGTACAGAAAGTGTGGAGAAACCTAACTTAGGCGTTAGTTGAAAAGTTAAACATGTTTTTGCAAAAACTTGGTATTTGGTTCTAAGACAATGGGAAGAAGTGTTTTTAATGACGTCACGATTTCTTTCGTTCTGTTAAACCGATTCACAAACATCGCAGCTACTTATAATCTTAGGTGTCAGTTTAAAGGGGCTGAAGGGCCACATATGGCCCAAGAGCCACACTTTGCAGACCCCTCTCCACCTATATAACAAAGATGAATATAACATGCTACAGATCAACACATGTAGACTACATGGCTTTATTTTATTTTATTATTAACAGCAACACCTGGAGTGCCACCTGTTGGATGATCCGTTGACTCTAAGCATCAGAATAGTTTTAATTCATATTTTAGTAAAGGACTTAACTAAATATTCATGATTTCTGTTTTCTTCCAGGTTCTGCACGACCATGTTGGATACAGGTTTGAAGTTCTTGAGGTGATCGGAAAAGGTTCCTTTGGGCAGGTCCTGAAATGTCTGGACCACAAGACCAATGAACTTGTGGCCATTAAGATGATACGCAATAAGAAAAGGTGATTCTGAACAAGTTGTTCTTTTATATAATTAGAGGCTTTTAAAGCTTAATGTTTCTTTCTGCACCACAGAATGCATTAGTTCACTTAACATTTATCAAAGACCTGATGGAGAGTCGTGAGATTTTCCCACATGCCTGCTGCACGATCGTTTTACGTTTTATGAGCGTGCCAATTCGTTGAAACCAGATTTAGCCTTGTGGAAGTCGTTGCCTTGTGGTGTTACCTTACCTGTCTTTCCTCACAGAGGATCATATTAGCTGCAAAAGCCTGACTTCTGTTAGATTCAGGCGTCGTCAGGCCTCACCCTCCTTCAATCATGCAGAAAACAAAAAGGTGCAAAGTGCCAGGGCTCTGCCCCGGAGAACTCCACCCTGTCAGACGACTATCTCTCATTTGGTTCCTTCTACATGAAATTGTCTTTTCATTTGTTTAGTTCTTGCTGCCTGACTAATTCTGGACACGTCCTCTACAAATTCAGCATCTTAACATGCACCCATCTCTCTGCAGATTTCATCACCAGGCTCTGGTGGAGCTGAAGATCCTGGAGGTCATTAAGAAGAAAGACAAAGACAATCTCCACAACGTCATTCACATGAAGGAGCACTTTTATTTCCGAAACCATCTTTGCATCTCCTTTGAGCTTCTGGGGTCAGTATGTGCAGCTTACCAAACCAGAAGGATGGAAGCACTTTGCTGAATGATTGGTTTTCTAATTGAAGTTGCGTCACCTTCGCTACGCACAACAGGGTCACAAAGCTGCTTCACAGAGCTGTTTCTCACTCCCTCTGCTCACTGCGGCACAAAGCAGTTTTCTGAAGCCAACTTTACTTATCTGTGTTTAAAAAGGCACCGTTTAGTGTCCTGGTCTGGCTTAATGACCTTTAGGGGCCTTGTCTAATATTACTGTCATGGTATCCTTTAGTTAAGGCCTAGAGGACCATATCTCTTACCCCATCTTGCTTCATGGTGCGAAGGATCCAGTTGCATTCTCTGAAGAAGTTTATGCTCCTCACAAGCAGCGAGATATATCAGGGAGATACGTTCTGTATCTGTCGGCCGTGAATGTTGGCACAATCATAAGTTATTTTCTAGTATGTGCTTGACAGTTAGTGGATGTTTCATCAGGGGTGCTGATGGGCACATTTAGCAGCCATTCCCCGTCATTAATATATAGAAGTACTTCATTAATATATAGAAGTACTTCATTAATATATAGAAGTACTTCTAGCCGGTCCATCTGTCTGTCCTTTTATTTCTTTGTGTACAAAGTTTTAAAGATTTGATTCTAAGAAGGAAATAAATTAGGCTTGTAAGTGTGTGTGTGTGTGTGTGTGTGCGCGTGCGTGTGTGTGTGTGTGCGTGCATGCGTGCGTGTGTTTGTGTGTGTGTGCGCGTGCGTGCGTGTGTGTGTGTGCGTGCATGCGTGCGTGTGTTTGTGTGTGTGTGTGTGTGTGTGTGTGCATGCATGCGTGCGTGTGTTTGTGTGTGTGTGTGTGTGCGCGTGCGTGTGTGTGTGCGCGTGCATGCGTGCGTGTGTGTGCGTGCGTGCGTGCATGTGTGTGTGCGCGCGTGTGTGCATGCGTGCGTGTGCATGCATGCGTGCGTGCGTGTGTGCGCGTGCGTGCGTGTGTGTGTGTGTGTGTGCGTGCATGCGTGTGTGTGTGTGTGTGCGCGTGCGTGCGTGCGTGTGTGTGTGTGTGCGTGCATGCGTGTGTGTGTGTGTGTGTGCGTGCATGCGTGTGTGTGTGCGTGCGTGTGTGTGTGTGTGTTTTCTCATCATGTTGAATTTTGACAGGGTGAACTTGTATGAGCTCATCAAAAAGAACAACTTCCAGGGATTCAGTCTGGCTCTGATTCGTCGCTTTGCCCACGCGCTTCTCAGGTGTCTACAGATGCTGCACAGGGAGAAAATAATCCACTGTGACCTCAAACCGGTACTAAACTCCATCAATTTTCAGATTAGAGCCTGAATCACTGGGATTGAGTGGTGAAGGTTGGACTGTTGGGCTCCATCTTGTGGACAGTTGCAATATTTAAGTTGTTTCACGTTTCTCGTCAGGAGAACATCCTTCTTTCTCAGCGAGGGCCCGGGAACATCAAGGTGGTTGACTTTGGGTCAAGCTGCTATGAAACACAAAGGGGTGAGAAAATGAAAATACAATTATTCATAATTAAATTCAACCTGAATGCATGTAACTCTATTTTTTCACTTCATCCAGTGTACACCTACATCCAGAGTCGCTTCTATCGTTCGCCGGAGGTCATCCTGGGTCACCCTTACAGCATGGCTATTGACATGTGGAGTCTGGGCTGCATCCTCGCTGAGCTCTACACCGGCTATCCTCTCTTCCCGGGAGAGAGTGAAGTGGAACAGATAGCATGCATAATGGAGGTATGACGTGGGAAAGTAATATTTATTTAGCCTAAAACTGATCAGGCTCTGTATTTTTTTTAAGTTCTGATGTGTTGAACACAGGTTCTGGGGATGCCTCCAAATGATTTCGTTCAGTCGGCATCAAGGAGGAAGTTGTTCTTTGGTGAGAAATAAAGTCATTTTGCCGGCTGTGCAGCAAACTGCGTGTAAGTTGGTGTACATCAGGTTATTGGCTGTTGACATGTGCTTGTGTTCAATGTTCAGACTCCAAAGGAAACCCGAGGAACATCACTAACAGCAAAGGGAAGAAGAGGAAGCCCAGCTCCGTAGAGCTCTCTGCAGCACTGAAGAACAACGATCCCTTGTTTTTAGATTTTATCCAGCGCTGCCTCTCGTATGATCCAATAACTCCTCCTTCTCTTCTGCGTGCTCAGTAGAAACACTTATAGCTTTTATTTAGCTTATTTATGTGCGTTTCAGCTGGGATCCAACTAAACGTATGACTCCTGATGAGGGTTTGCAGCACCAGTGGATTCTGGATGGAAATTTCAACAAAGTCCGATCCAGAACCAAACCAGCAGTCAAGAAGACCACAGACAGTTCCACCAACACCGAGAAACAAGTCAAGCCCGGTAAGTGCATGTGCTCCCCTCTTGGAGTTAAAAGTCAAATTTGTGGGTAAAACACATGACTCTGTTAAAGTTTCCAGTAGTAAATGTTTAGCTTTTATCCTGCAGAGGAGAAAACACGCTCAGAAAACAGCAGTAAAGATAAGCCGAAGAGGGACGGCTCTGCAACTGGAACAAAGATGGACTCTGAGGACCGTCTGCGGCCCATCGGGGCCTCGGCGGAGGAGCAGGTGTGTGAGGGCGGAGGCAGAAATACACAGCAGCAAGGAGAGAGGCCCATTCATATCATCATCAAACCTCAGGAGCAAGTGGACCCCAAAGGGAAACAAAGCCAGGACCCCCTCTCACCAGTCTGAGAAAGTCATGCTGCATTCATGAACAGTGGGGAAAATGGGCGTTTAAGGAAGCCTGTAATGGTTCGGCTCTGGACTGGAAAATGGAGAGCTGTAAAACGGCCATGTTGCTTTATGATGTCATAGAAATGATTGAAAAGTCAGAAGAAAACAGAAATGTACAGCAATGATCGTCTGTTCATGTCAGTAGTGGTGTGTATTTTTAGTTATGTGGAATGTTTAGAGGCCAGTGATTTAAGTCATGCTTTTATTGGAGTGGAGATCAAGTTTGAACTGTGTCTCAGATCAGAGACACACCGTTTGCCACATGAGAATTCAGACTCACTGCTGCTGTTTCCTGCAGGACTGAATCCAGTCTTTGCTGTGCATTAAACACCTGCTTTAGATCTTAAATTTGTTTTTCAAAATTCAGCGTTTTTAGACGCATGCATAGGTTTATTAGGTCCTTCTAGAGATGATGTTACGTTATTATAATACATATTTGTAGAACTGAGTGCATTACGGCTGAGCCAAATGCTTTTTATAAGAATAGTTTAAAAATAGTTGTCTCTTACATTTTATTGTGAAGGAAGTTGACATGCAGTAAGAAGTTTTTGGTTATTTCACGTATTTATTGTGGAAAATCTCAAAGCCTGTTTGACAATTTTAAACAAACTATATAAAATTGTGTTTGTAAAATAATTGACTGTAAATATTTCCACTGTAATTTCTTAAACACATGTACCACAGAACATGTTTTAACGTTTGTTGAGAATTGACACAAGGTTTTACTTGTTGTGCTGTTACTGTGAAATCATTTTGTACATCTGTTATTTCTAACATTTTTTATTTAGATCCAAAAGGACAATCCTGATAGTTTGTGCCTTGCAGTATTAGGATCTTTGCACTTTAATATTGTCATTCTACCCTTGGATCAGAAGCTGTCACTTCTTCCTCAGGATGATTTGGACCGCACCCTGCCAGCATCCTTTTGAACCTAACAGATCTATGTTAGTAAAGATAGGCCCATGCCCTCACTATGCTCAGCAACTTTATATGAGATCGGTTGTAGCTACAGATATGAAAAGTCAACAAAGTTTATTTTATGTATTTTATGATAAAATAAATGTTTCAAAGGTCGACTGGATTATTTCTGACTGCTTTCATTTAAATTTGTATTTTAAACTCAGATTACAGCTTAAATTATGCTTTTTATTCTTATTTTAAAGTAAGGTAAGCCAAGTGAAAATATCGCTGTATTAAAATAAGATTAGAACTTTGAATTCATTTAACTTATAAGTAATTGAGCACAAATGCAGCTACTAATGTCACAGATGTGTCTCAAGTCTCAACCTTTCCAAACTTCTGGAACAAACTATCAGAGACCATTGAAAATGTGTGGAAGCCAGGGTTAGGGTTTTTTTAAGCATATTTAAGAACTGAATTTTTCCCATCATCATAACAAAAACAACAGCCTGTGTTATCCATTGGTGCTTCAGCGTGACATTTATTGATATGAGGGCTTATATATAAGGCTTGTCACAGCATCTGTCTGCATTCCTTCTTGGGGGGTTTGTTGTTGGCATCTTGAAGGCTGCCATGGCGTCAGATTTGGATAACAAGACTTTGTTTGGGTCAGGCAGAGATCATTTTCCTTTCTGCCTTCAGTCTGTAACTGATCATTCCAGTCCTCCAGTGAAGCCAATTTAGGTTTTAAACATCTCCACACCGTCCGGTGACCCTCTCCGAGATGACGTCCATTTTGCGCACTAATACCGGTAACGCAGCTAGGACGTCCAGCTTACGATTCACCTCGAGTAACGTCCCAGTCTATAAGGTCACCGCCCGGGCGGTGCTTTCCGTGGGTGCGGGTCGCCCTCCAATCGCTCCCGTCTTCCCAAATTTCCAGAAAACCAGATATCCTCCCACTCCAATCAGAAGAAATCCAGTGATCATCAGGCCAAATATCCACACATTTTCAACATCCTCAATGGACAACTGAGAGGCATACGATCTTCCACTCCTTCCGGGAATGGAGCATATATCCCGCTGCGTGTGTCCCTTGCGGGCAAGTGGGAGCCCCCTCCTCCGTTCTCATCGTAGAAAAAATCTTATCAATCGCGTTGAATGACGAATTAATTAAATCAATTTCTAAAAAATAGGGTTTTTCAGAAGAAATGCAGAGAAGCGCTCTGTGGGCAGACAGGACAAAGAGCCTTGGGAGAAAAGATAAGGGAGCAAAAGCAGAAGCGTCTGTACTCTGCGAGTGCCAGGAAGAACAACAAATGGAAATATAAGGGAACGACTGGAAAATAACAAGAAGTTAGGGAAGTGAGGAGGACTGATGCTAAAATAAAAAGAAACACTGGGGGAGCAACATGACAACAGAGTAAACCACACAGGAACAAAACTGGGGAACACGAGGAAAACAGACACAGGGCAGACAGAACATGACAGGTGTGTTTTATTACCTAACCCGTGTGATTTGTTTTTATGTGGTTCTATTACAAGACATCTCATAATGTCCTGTGGTAAAGTGTTGAATAAAATAATTAGCTTCACTTATTAAAATGTGCCAACAGTTTTATGTGAACATAAATCTGCTGGGTTCATTATTTAAAAGCAAGAATACAAAGTGTGCCTTGAGGGCAGCGTTTAAATAACCAGTGATCAAAAATTACGTCATGAAACAGAGAGCGAAAGGTGGAGTCATCGTTTTAAATCTTTTCCTTTTTACTGCAGTCGCTGAATCATCATGCAAAGACATGAAAACAACATAAACATCCTGAGAGGAATTTTATTCATGTGCAGAATATAGTTAAACAGATGAATTAGGGAGACTCCTCTGTGAACGTCAGTAATGTATGATGTTTTATCATGTTTTCATGACACATACTAATGTATGATGTTTTGTCGTGTTTTCATTAAACATACTAATGAATGATGTTTTTATGTTTTCAAGACATACTAATGTATGAAATTTTTATCATGTTTTAATTAAACATACTAATGTATGATATTTTTATTGGGTTTTCATTGAACATACTAATAATGTATGATATTTTTATTATGTTTTCATGACACATACTAATGAATGATGTTTTTATCATGTTTTCATGACACATACTAATGAATGATGTTTTTATCATGTTTTCATGACACATACTAATGAATGATGTTTTTATCATGTTTTCATGACACATACTAATGTATGATATTTTTTCATGTTTTCACAACACATACTAATGTATGATGTTTTTATCATGTTTTCATGACACATACTAATGTATGATGTTTTTATCGTGTTTTCATTAAACATACTAATGTATGATGTTTTTTTCATGTTTTCATGACACATACTAATGTATGACATTAGTATCTTGTTTTCATGACACATACTAATGAATGATGTTTTTATCATGTTTTCATGACACATACTAATGTATGATATTTTTATCATGTTTTCATGACACATACTAATGAATGATATTTTTATCATGTTTTCATGACACATACTAATGAATGATGTTTTTATCATGTTTTCATGACACATACTAATGTATGATGTTTTTATCGTGTTTTCGTTAAACATACTAATGTATGATATTTTTTCATGTTTTCATGACACATACTAATGTATGATGTTTTTATCATGTGTTCGTTAAACATACTAATGTATGATATTTTTATCATGTTTTCATGACACATACTAATGAATGATATTTTTATCATGTTTTCATGACACATACTAATGAATGATGTTTTTATCATGTTTTCATGACACATACTAATGTATGATGTTTTTATCGTGTTTTCGTTAAACATACTAATGTATGATATTTTTTCATGTTTTCATGACACATACTAATGTATGATGTTTTTTATCGTGTTTTCGTTAAACATACTAATGTATGATATTTTTTCATGTTTTCATGACACATACTAATGAATGATGTTTTTATCATGTTTTCATGACACATACTAATGTATGATATTTTTTCATGTTTTCATGACACATACTAATGTATGACATTAGTATCTTGTTTTCATGACACATACTAATGTATGATATTTTTTTCATGTTTTCATGACACATACTAATGTATGATATTTTATCATGTTTTCATGACACATACTAATGTATGATGTTTTATCATGTTTTCATGACACATACTAATGTATGACATTAGTATCTTGTTTTCATGACACATACTAATGTATGATATTTTTCATGTTTTCATGACACATACTAATGTATGACATTAGTATCTTGTTTTCATGACACATACTAATGTATGATATTTTTTTCATGTTTTCATGTTACATACTAATGTATGATATTTTTATCATGTTTTCATGACACATACTAATGTATGATGTTTTTATCATGTTTTCATGAAACATACTAATGTATGACATTAGTATCTTGTTTTCATGACACATACTAATGTATGATTTTTTTTCATGTTTTCATGACACATACTAATGTATGATATTTTTATTATGTTTTCATTAAACATACTAATGTATGATGTTTTTTCATGTTTTCATGACACATACTAATGTATGATATTTTTCATGTTTTCATGACACATACTAATGTATGACATTAGTATCTTATTTTCATGACACATACTAATATATGATATTTTTTCATGTTTTCATGACACATACTAATGTATGATATTTTTTCATGTTTTCATGACATATACTAATGTATGATGTTTTTATCATGTTTTCATGACACATACTAATGTGTGACAATAGTATCTTGTTTTCATGACACATACTAATGTATGATGTTTTTATCATGTTGTCATGACACATACTAATGAATGATGTTTTTATCATGTTTTCATGACACATACTAATGTATGATGTTTTTATCGTGTTTTCATGACACATACTAATGAATGATATTTTTCATGTTTTCATGACACATACTAATGTATGACATTAGTATGTTGTTTTCATGACACATACTAATGTATGATATTTTTTCATGTTTTCATGACACATACTAATGAATGATTTTTTTATCATGTTTTCATGACACATACTAATGTATGATGTTTATTTCGTGTTTTCGTTAAACATACTAATGTATGATATTTTTTCATGTTTTCATGACACATACTAATGTATGATGTTTTTATCGTGTTTTCATTAAACATACTAATGTATGATATTTTATGTTTTCAAGACATACTAATGTATGAAATTTTTATCATGTTTTCATTAAACATACTAATGTATGATATTTTTATTGGGTTTTCATTGAACATACTAATAATGTATGATATTTTTATTATGTTTTCATGACACATACTAATGAATGATGTTTTTATCATGTTTTCATGACACATACTAATGAATGATGTTTTTATCATGTTTTCATGACACATACTAATGAATGATGTTTTTATCATGTTTTCATGACACATACTAATGTATGATATTTTTTCATGTTTTCACAACACATACTAATGTATGATGTTTTTATCATGTTTTCATGACACATACTAATGTATGATGTTTTTATCGTGTTTTCATTAAACATACTAATGTATGATGTTTTTATCATGTTTTCATGACACATACTAATGAATGATGTTTTTATCATGTTTTCATGACACATACTAATGAATGATGTTTTTATCATGTTTTCATGACACATACTAATGAATGATGTTTTTATCATGTTTTCATGACACATACTAATGTATGATTTTTTTCATGTTTTCACAACACATACTAATGTATGATGTTTTTATCATGTTTTCATGACACATACTAATGTATGATGTTTTTATCGTGTTTTCATTAAACATACTAATGTATGATATTTTTATTATGTTTTCATGACACATACTAATGAATGATGTTTTTATCATGTTTTCATGACACATACTAATGAATGATGTTTTTATCATGTTTTCATGACACATACTAATGAATGATGTTTTTATCATGTTTTCATGACACATACTAATGTATGATATTTTTTCATGTTTTCACAACACATACTAATGTATGATGTTTTTATCATGTTTTCATGACACATACTAATGTATGATGTTTTTTTCGTGTTTTCATGACACATACTAATGTATGATGTTTTTTTCATGTTTTCATGACAC